GAGAAGCAAAATGTCTTCAAAGAAAAACTAGAAAGTCCAGTTGCCTCTTGAAAAAGCAACCTTTGAGACAACCGTTAATTTAGTGATTGTTTGAAGTACAAAAGCACTGGAAAAAAGTGACTTATGGCCACTGTTTCATACTTACAACCGCTGCTGCATCCCCAAAGTCATGTGATCAAAATTCAGACCCTTGGCAAATGGCTCATATTGGGGATGTTTACAGTGTCCTAAGGTCACGTGATCCTCTTTTGCAACCCAACAGTCAATGGGGAAGCCAGATTCACTTAACCGTGTTGCTCATTTAACAACTGCGGTGATTCACTTAAGAACTGTGGGAAGATAGGTCATGAAAAATGGGGCGAAACTCACTTAACAATGATCTCGCTTAACAAGGGAAATTTTGGGCTCAAGTATGGTCATAAGCCGAGGACTGCCTATAAATTGCTTGGAATTGGGTTCATTAAATCGGTCACCCAACTCGTGATTTCCACTTGATCCATTCACCCCATTGGTTTCAGGGGTCCCTTAGTCAAGTTGCTTAACTCCACAGCTTCGCTGTACATCAATGAAAATTCAATCATCCAGGCCAAAAATATTTTAAGAAAGGTAAAAATTATGGCAAAACTGGACCAAAGTTTGTTAATCTGAGTCTTTTTGTTACTTTTTCAAGTAACTTCATCAGTCAAAATAAATTTTTAAAAAGTAGTTAGGAAGAGAATTAGAGTTGTTGTAATGTACCAACTCTTGCCACACCAACTGCAGGGGTTTCTCCCTAAAATGTATTGCAATATGTCCATGAAAATTCAATAATCCAGGCCCAAAAGTATCTAAAAAAGGTTAAAATCATGGCAAATTGGACCAAAGTTTGTTAATCTGAGATGTTTCGTTGCTCATCTGAGTAAATTCATCAGTCAAAATAAATAAATAAAAATTAGTTAGGTGGACAGTGTCATTGGAATGTACCAACTGCAGGGGTTTCTCCCCACTTTTTTTTAATTTTGACTGGTGGACTTTACTTGGATGAATAACCAAACATCTCAGATAAATAAATTGTTTTGGTCCAGTTAATGTGATTTTAACCTTTTTTAAGACCCAGCTTCGCTGTTAACCCTTTCTTAATTCCACTTTTTAATTTTTTTTAAGTCTTCCAAACTCTACCTGTGCTGCTAAAACACAAAACACTAAATGAACCGTTGTAACTCGAAGGTTATATTGAATTCATCTCCCCATACTTTGGCAAAAACCAGCTAGTGGTTTTGTTCATTTTTATAAACTTTTTAAAAAACAAGGAAACCAGTTTTCCAAAATCTAAGGTGGAGGGACTGGGAGAATGGGACCTTGAAAGCGAGGGATAACCTAAGAAAAGTGGGGTGCTCTTAATTTGCCGCTGAGCTTGATTTCTTCAGAGTTTCCTTTTCTTATATGGCAGGGCATGATGTACAAAGGACTCTTGGACTGCCTGGCCCAAATCATCCGGACCGAGGGCTTTTGGGGGGCCTACAAAGGAGTGGGGGCTTCTTACTTCCGCATCGGGCCGCACACGATCCTCAGCCTTCTCTTCTGGGACCAAATCCGCCAAGTCAACTTCCGCTGACTGCAGGAGTAAAGCCACTCATAAGGGGGATGCCCCCCCCCAATTTGCATGTCGCGACATATGTCAGGGGGCGGTCTGGACCTCGCTGTCAGTCAAGCTAGTCTCAAGCGATTCAACTTCTTATTGGGCAGAGTAAGATCATTGGTGGCCCATTCCTCACGCTTTGTTTTTTGGCCGTTCTCACCTCTGGGTCCCCTTTCCTATTTCGCTACAGGTGGGAGGAGAAAATAAATGTGCAAATCTTTCTCCTGCCTGGAATAATAATACCTCAATCCTAATTTCTGGACTGAGGAGCCAAACCATCACACAGAAGCTGTTCCTTAGTTGAAGCTTGTGCAGGAACCCACCAGGCCCATTCTGTAGTGAAGCACCATTTTTCCACTGCAGAAGATGGACCACTGTCGGTTTGGTAAATAGCCTCCAGGTCCCACCTACCTAGGAGAAGCCCTAAAAAGCTTTCTCACTTCATTGGCTCATTTTGGCCCAGTGTGCAAACTTACAGGGCCTCTGTAAAGGTGGCAGGAGGTGTACTGAGTTCAAGCTGTTTTCCATGGCAACCAAGTAGGCCTATAGGTAGGGCTCACCTGCTCCTCTGTTAATCCCTCCTCTAGGTGGCACTAGAGTGCTGTCCTGCTCTTTTGGATTTCTTGCTCTCTATCCACATGCTATTAAAGTTATCAGATCTGTTTGTAATGTTCGGTTGGGTAAAATGGTGCATTATGGGGCAACAGTTTTTCAATCAATATACATCAAATGGGCTAACATACAGAATGTATCCAAAACTTGGGCCCCATGTGACTGGGAATTGAAATTTGACACATTTGTGGCCATTTCAGTTGTGCCACCTCAATCGAGTGATTGTCCTTTCCAACACTCCTGAAACCTTTGGTAAAGAAGAAGCCAGAAAGGTAAGTCACAAGTTTCTCAGGTAAGTCCCCCCCACTCACACAACACACATAGCCCTTCTGGGCTCCTACCCCTCATATACCGCTGCATACCTTTAGCTGCATCACAGTTCTGCGTGCGGTGTCAACCTCATGGCTCTGTCCTGCACCCCTACTCAGCTTTCTCAACTCGTACCAAATTCCTGTGTACCCCATCTGACCTTTTGCATACCTCTGTACTCTCCTGGACTTCCACAGCACCTCATACATTCTCTACACACATCCTTCTTGACCTGTTCTGACCAGTGTGGGACATGTCATGCCTCCTTCCCAATTCTTGTGATATCCTTCCCTTGTGCGGAGTTCATTTTTATTTCAACAGGAAAGCCACCAGGAAGTATAAACTTGATGCAGCAGGAAGGAAGGAGGGGAGAGGGAGGGAGGGAAGGAAGGATAGGTAAACTGCCAAGGCAGGTCAGGGAAAATGTATTGACTTTAACTCCCATTTTAGCTGGGGAATTCTGGGAGTTGAAGCCTGCACATCATAAAGTGTTCTTGTTTAATCTTCAGGTTCTCCTTATCATGAAAACAGGAAATAAATTAGCATCTTCCCATGAGAAAAAATTCTTAATTAGTTCCAGGCTGTCATTCCAAATCCCCCTATCTTTTTAATCCTTTGCTAACTTTTCCCACATCCAGATACTTAAGGTTTTGCTACCTTTTATATATATATATATATTCAGATTTTTAATTTAAAAACCAAATTGATGTCATCCTTTAGGGAAGAGAAACCAAATTGATGTCATCCTTTAGGGAAGAGAAACTCATCAATAAATACAGCAAAAACTTGTTGGTCTGAAGGTTAATCTCCCATATGTGAGGGAGAAAAAAAAATTCCAAAAACTGATAAAGAAATGGGGCTCAATTCAGTTTAGTACTTGTAAAAGTCCGTGCCACAAGTCCCATTCAACTCCACTCAGTGACCAATCACAAAAATGGCAGTTTCCCTGGTCTGTTCTTGAGTGGCTTTCCAGGGTCACTTGGATAATCTCTACAAACTCTCTTCCAGAGAAGTTTTGCCTCTCTGAATTTAACCTGTGGCCGTGATTTCCTTGCAAATGATGTCCTGCTAATGAAGAGGACATCATTTTGCCGTCCCAGAAAATGGGGCGGGGGGAAGATTTTGGACACATTCTCTAAATCAGGGGTCTTCAACTTTGGTAACTTTTAAGACTTGTGAACTTCAACTTCCAGAATTCTGGGAGTTAAAGAAGTTGCTAAGATTGGAGACCCCTTCTCTAAATCATCCCCGTTTGAGGTACACCGATTCAAAAATTCTTGCCTTCCAATGCACTGTTTCGCCCCATTGGAGCTTACAAACGGACATGAGAATTTTAATGTCATACAGGTAGGTAAAAGCTTCTGTTGAAGCTTGCGTTTATTTTAATCAAGCACCAGACCCGAAGGAAAGATCCACTTAAAAAGGAAGAAAGGCATTCACTGTAAATGGCCGCTCCAAACCACATGGTAAACTCTATTGAATGTAGCACTGATGATGCTAAGAGATGAGGCACACACCCAAAGCATTGAGGATGAGATTCTAACCGTTTTGCTCATTTGGTGTGAGGGAGGAACCACTATATTTTCAGTGGGTTGATTATATTTTTAACTTGTTCCAGTTGGCCTCCGTGTCCCTTGACACTCAAGAACGGTTGAGGAAACAATTTACAAGCAACCTCAAATTTCATGACAAAACATGTAAAGCTTTTTGGGAGATGGAATTTGAAGGAACAAAGAAGAAAAAAAGGGAAAGGAGCAATCTTGCTTGCAGCAAATTTCCTTCTGTTTTTATGTTTCTTTTCCTAATTGTTCGAGGGCGAGAAGTCACTGGCGCATGCCTAGAACATACAGGTACCCCAAATAAAAAGTATTTCTTTGACGGTTCATTGGATGTGTAATTATTTCTGGGGTTTGTGCTCCTTCCATTACTGAGGTGTGGGGAGATAAATTGTGAGTGGTAAATCTCAAGCTAATGAATTAATTATCCAAAGGGTAGGTAATCCCAGTTTGCTTGTAGAAGGACATTAGGAAATAGCTGGAGAGGTGAGTAAAATTACACTTTCTACGGTCTAATGTGTTTTTCAGAGTTGGCGACAAGATGTGTGGACTTCAACTCCCAGACTTCCCCAATCTGTACGGCTGGCTGGGGATTCTGGGAATTGAAGTCCAACACGTCTTAGAGTTGCTGTCAGGTCAAAATCCAAGAAAAAAACCATTAGGCTCCATTGTTATAGAGAAAAGGACTTTTACTTATTTATTTTTACTGGAAATCAAGTGGTAGCATCAAAAGAATTCAAGATATGAGCCATTAGACATGAAAATCACATATACAAAATTACGGCATTGTTCCTACCCACAACAGTTCAAACTGGCCATCCAATCCGTGATGTGTATAATGTTATGTGGGACATCTGACCGTTGACCTTGCCTGGATAGATAAGATGCTGCAACTGCACAGCAAGCATAACGTTTTTCCAAGTTTTCCCAACTCAAGCCTCCACCACTCTTCCCCCACCCCCACAAAGCCCAATTTATCCTCCCTCCCCCCCTTACTATGGCAGCCAGAAAGACAAGCAGAAGAAAGATTCTTGAAGGCTAACAGTAACCAACTTTGAAAAACACTGCTCCACACATCTTAAAGTCCGCAAGTTTGAAAAACACTGGTATAATGCAATCCTAAAGCAAGCCAAGATTGCTTTTTGTCAGGAGAACATCCTTTGGCATTCAGGGTCCATCTCCCCTTTTCCGACTGGGGATGAAGGAAAAAGATCCGTATACCACAGCCAGCGTGCTCATTTGAAGGACTCTAAACCAGACAGCTCAGGGATAACAGCCGCGCCGGAGCAAAGCTGGATTTCTGGCAAACGTAGACAAGAGAACTGTTAACCAAACAGTCCAGGATTCAGGAGCCGCAGGCTACACACAAAAGTGTGGAAATGCTCCACTGTCCAGGGCGGTCGAGACAGTGCCAAGGGGACATCTGTATTTTGCACAGCGCTGGTACTTAGAGGGCTGCCTCAGAAGAAAGAAGAAAAAAAGAACTGGTCATCACAGGACAGAATTGCAAAATGTGTGCCAAAACCCAACGGCCATCAGCTGACTATCTTTCAGTCTACAGAACAGGCAGATCCTTTCCCAATATAGCTAGTCCTTGACTTATGACCACAACTGAACCCAAAACTTTTGTCCTTGGTGAATTTTGCCCCATTTTATGATTTTTCTTGACGTTAACTGAATTACTGCCTTTGTTAAAGTCAGTGGCATTGTTTGTTAAGTGAATCTGGCTTTCCCATTGCTTTTGCTTCCCAGAAGGTGGAAAAAGGAGATCACCTGACTCCAGGAGACGCTGCAACTGTTGTGAATATGAACCAGTTGCCATGCACCGAATTTTGATAATGTGACCACAGATCGTAAGTGAAAAACAGTCCTAAGTCAATTTTTTTCCATATTGCTGTAACTTCGAGCCATCGCTAAACGAATGGTTGTAAGTTAAGGACAACCGGAGGGAAAGGAGAGTAGAATTTCAAAAGGTTTGTCATAAGAAACCTACTGCACATCTTTTAAACACCCTCAACTCTCCTCAAATTGAGCTGAGGATGCATTTAATGGGGATGGCTCTCAAAAGTCAGAAGTCAAACTGCTCAGCCGCAACCGCAAGAATATTCTTAATTTTCATTTCTTTTTTTACATCCCTGTAATCCTTTAATTCAGGGTAGACTCAGGGTGACAGGATGGAGCCTAAGAGTTTACTGGACAGATACTCTTCCTGACACCACGTGAAGTTCCAGCAGATTTTTTTTTCCTCATTGCACCCTAAAGAGGAACATCTGCAGCTACTTAGGATTTAACGTTCAACTTTTTGAATGGGAGGCGAGCATCTTCACTACTACCATACCCCACTCCACTTATATTCTTAATTCTCACTCTTCCAATTTATCCCTTTCCTATTGTGGCCTGTCAGCTGCCGTCCTCTCTGGCAGCCGAATCAGATGAGGAGGTGGCATGGGAGTCAGGGCAATCTGGGAGCTCCAAGGAGGAAGAGGGAATGGAGCTGTCAGAGACAGAGGCAGAGACTGAGCTGTCCGCCAGCCCTCAGATGGGAGAGTTAACATCCCCCAGGTCTGGAGGTAGCTGATGAGGAAGAGGAGGAAAAGCTGGGTCCAGTGTCTGACGTGTGAATGTGCAGAAGGCAGAGGAAAGAAGAGCAGTGAGAATCTATGCGCCAGTCCTTGGGACGGAAGTGCCACCCCTGCTAGTGAAGGCCCACCCTAGCTCTGGGGATAAAAGGCAGGGGGTGGAGATGAATAGGTATGGCAGACAACTATTCATCTCCCTGCTGGTCCGCCTACACTTCTGAATCCTGTTGGGAAATTATCATAATTCTTCTGAGAATGTGCAGCGCCTTCTGAGTATGCCTGTGCTGTGCTTCCCTTGCAGGTGTGAGGAGAGAGCTCCTGGTGTGTTGGGGCCATTTCAGGGGGAAAGGGAGCAAGCGTCACTTTCCACAAAGCTTAGAGAAGGAGTGTCAAACTCAATTTCACTGAGGGCCGCCTCAGGGCTCTGGTTGTCCTTGGGTGATGCTGGGTGGGCTGGATCCAACCACATCATGGGCCAGATTCAGCCCGCAGGTATTGTTTGACACCCAACTTAGAGACTTCGTTAGCCTACTGTGAGAGGGTGTCTGCTGGCGCTCCTAATAAAGGGAACGTTTTGTTATCTACAAAGGGCTTGTCGTGTTTGGGAGCCGGGTCAGAAAACTCCCTTTCTCTCCTTTCCTCAGAGCAATTAGTGGTTCTAACCTTGCGGCAGGCAGAGGAGGGAATTAAGGCACACTCACTTAATCCAGGTGGGGTCATTGAAAGTGACAAGCAGATCCGTTCCGTACTGGGGGAGGCGCAGCAACACCAAATGCACACACACATCATTTTTGGCCTGCGGACCGAAAAACAGGAAGAAGAAATTAATCGGGCCTACCTGACGCCTCCCATTTTATACCGATGGAAAGCTGGCTTTCGACATCATGAGGGATAGCACCTCTTCTTTAAACAAGGGCATCATGGGAAGGGGACAGAACCACATCATTGGTTTCTCTTATGTAAGTATAAGCCAAGCAAGGTCCGCTCTGGCTAGTTCAACAGGGCATAATGTCATGTCTGAACTAGATAAATACCAAGGCAGAAAATGAACACAGGTACATGTAGTCCTCGACATACAACAGAACTGAGCCCAAAATTTCCGTTGTTAAGTGAGGCATTTGTTAAGTGAGGCATTTATCCCTATTTTACGACCTTTCTTGCCACAGTTGGCGTGGTGGCGCAGTGGTTAGAATGTCGTACTGCAGGCTCCTTCTGCTGATTGCTGGCTGCCTGTAGAAGTTTCCTCTTTGCATTGGATAGACTATGTTGTAGATTGAAGATATATGATGTCATATCCCTCCCTGTCTGTTGAGAGAGGGCTGTTCTATTTTCACACAGATGACCTCTTTGACCTCTCTTCCAAACCACTGGTCTATGTCAAAATGGAACAACCCTCTCTCAACAGTCAACAACACAGTCCTTTCAACAGTTCCAAGAAGCCCCCACACCCATTTGCACTACTCAGGTGATTCTGAGAACACAAACAAGCCTCTAAGTGGCCTCTAAAAGGATGCAAATGAACAGCTGTCTGCAAGGAGTATAAAATCCCTCCATTCCCCACCATCCACTCAGAGCTGAAGAAGCTTCTTGGATGAGAAGCACAACATCTTCAAATAAAAACAAAAAACAACAGAGTCTGGTTGCCTCTTGAAAAAACACCTTTGGGGCAACCATGACCTGGAGGACTGAGAATCTCCATTGACCAGGGCTATCAAATTCAAGGCTGGTGGGCCGGATCCGGCCCATGGAGTGCTTAGATGTGATCCGCGGGGCTGCCCTGGAAACAGCGAAGGACTCGCCCGCAGTGCTTATGCCAGTGAAAATGGAGCTCGGAAGGCCGCGTATGGTCCCTCCTGCTCTGTTTTCACTGGCAGAGCACTGCAGGAGACTGTCACAACCGAAAATGGAGCCGGCGGGGGGATGGGAACATGGCCCCCCTAACTCTGTTATTGCTGGAAAAGTGCTAGCAAAACAAACTACTAGCAAAAGTGGATCCCTCCAGCCCCATCAGAGCCACCACAGGTGCCCCTGACACGAGTGATGTCAAGCTGGCCAGCCTGCCCCCCTCCCCGCGAGGTCAAACACAACCTTGATACGGCCTTCAATGAAATCAAATTTGGCAAAACCCCTGCCATAGACATTTCCTCACAGGTGTCAGGACTCCAACAAATCTACCCTCATTCAAATCAAAAGTCTAGGCATTTATCTAGGCATTTAAGGAATGCCTTGTTTTCCCCCACTCCCTTTTTCTGGCAGCTAAAAAGACCAAAGGAAGATCTTTTTAGTTGACAACAGGGATGACCTAACTCCGTGATGGTCGCCCAGAAGAGCCCCACTGCGCATGCACATGTGCCGCATGACTGACAGGTGATTGTCAGGTATCTGGCGCGCATGTACGGGGTGCGTGGGAGATGTGCATGCATGGGGTGTGGGCGGGCACATGCATTGCCTTCTGGGTGCTGGCACACGAGCGCACATGTGCGTGGGTGCAATTTTTGGTACGGGAGCCCCAAAAGGTTAGCCACCACTACCCCAACTGATCGTAAAAATGTCATTTTTTCCAGTGCTGTCGTAATTAAAACAGTCACCAAACCAATGGGTGTAACTTGAGGATCACCTGTACGTGTGTGTGTGTGTGTGTGTGTGTGTGTGTGTGTGTGTGTGTTATATGCCCGTTTTCCCTCCCCAGATGGTTCATCCTGCAGAACCACCTTCGTTGCAGAAAAATGTTCGGAGCAAGGTCCGCCAAGTGGCAGGACACGATTCAGAAATGGGTAACCTTGTCACTCACGTCCTCATTGAATTTAGCGATCTTCTGGCGGCCTGTGAGTTGCCAGGTGCTGCTGCAGCCTTCGAATGCCAGAAGAGAGGGCGCAAACTGGTCTTGGCTCAAAATCTCCAAATTGGCCGAACTGCCCGCAATGTCTTCAAAATGGTACCTGGTGGGACAGGGTGGTTAAAAAAAAAAGATGAGTGGACTGGACATCTCCCACTGACCCTTCCACCAATGAATCTCTTTATCCGCAGCTCAGATTATTCCAGATAAACCCCTTCCCCAAATTGCATAGGTGAACATCGAATATGGAGAAAATGCAAAGTAACTCCAGTTAGAGCCAGGCGATCAAACTGGTCAGTCCTAGAGGAGATCAACCCTGACTGCTGTTTAGAAGGCCAGCTCCTCCTCTGAAGATGAAACTTCAATACTTTGGCCACCTAATGAGAAGGAAGGACTCACTGGAGAAGAGCTGGTAAAGATTGAGGGCCACAGAAGAAGGGGATGACAGAGAATGAGGTGGCTGGATGGAGTCACTGAAGTAGTAGGCGTGAGCTTAAATGGACTCCGGAGGATGGTAGAGGACAGGAAGGCCTGGAGGAACGTTGTTCATGGGGTTGAGATGGGTCAGACACAACTTCACAACAACAAATACAGGTAGTTCTCACGTTATGACCACAAAAAATGTCTGCTCTTAAGCGAGATATTTGTGAAGTTAATTTTGTCCCATTTTAGGACCTTTCTTGCCACTGTTATTAAGCAAATAACTGCAGTGGTGGTTAGTAACCCAGTTGTTAAGTGAATCCAGCTTCCCCATTGACTTTGCTTATCATAAGGTCACAAAAGTAGATCATGTGACACCAGGATCCTGCAACGGTCATAAATGGGAGCCAGTTGAATTTTGATCACATGATCATGGGGATCCTTGTGTGCCTAATCACACTTGGCCACATAAAGTACTCGTAGCCTTTGACTTACAACAATTTGTTCAGTGACCATTGAAATGGCACTGAAAAAAAGTACTTACGGTCGTTTTTTGGAATTACGGCCTTTCCAGCATCCTCATCATGCTCACATGATCAAAGTTCAGTCGCTTGGCAACTGGTTCGTACTTATGAGGGTTGTTGCTATGTCTCGGGGTCACGTGATGCCCCCTTTAGTGACCTTCTGACGAGCAAAATCAATGGAAAAGCCGGATTCATTTAACAACCGGGTTAGTAACTTATCAACTGCAGTGATTGACTTAACAACTGAGGCAAAACTCAAGTAACAAATGTCTCACTTAACAACAGAAACTCAGAGCTCATCTGTGGTTGTAAGTCAAGGATTATACTTGTATAGTACAGAGTAGGATAGTATAGTATTTCTATTTCTATTTTATTCACATCCCTATTCCAAAGACTAAGTACCATATTTGATGGTATGATCTTCCCTAAGATCACCCTGGCCCAGGTAAGTGCTGCCACCTAGCTGTGACATTTTGTCATTTCTTCCCCAATTCCCCGCACAAGGAAGTTGTAAAAAGTGGAGATGTTGGGGATTGAACCCAGGACCTCACACATGCAAAACATACACTCTACCACTGAGCTACATCTCCTTCCATGCCAAGTCTTCCAGCAGCTGGTCTCCTGTAGTAGAACAGTTGCCCCTCAATGTTACTTCCTCCTGCTTGTATTTTCAGGTTTCACCAGTGAAGCCAACATTTTAGGCTTTTGCTACATAAATAAGATACTGAGTCTGATGAAAATGTTGCTAAGGCTAATTGGTCATCGATTAATTAATGCCACTAAAGTACTATACTGTAATATAATTACTATACTATACTATAATGACTATATTACACTATAATTACTATACTAGATTATAATTACTATACTATAATTACTATACACTATAATTACCATACACTACAATTACTATACTATACTATACTATACTATACTATACTATACTATACTATACTATACTATACTATACTATACTAACCTACAGTATCTATATACTGTATATAAAAGCAAAATACCACTCATGTATCATCACAAAATCTCCAGAACTGTAAACCTACAAACTTGAAATTTGGCATGTATGTTCCTCTTGGCTTCTAGGGGCTCACTAAGAAAGGATTTTTCGAAATGACCATCAGAGCATTATTTCCTATATTATTATTAGCACGCTCTGATGCTAAGGAATTCTACTCCCCCTCCCCACCTGAAAATAAACCTGTTCCAAATGCAAAACACAAGCAGAGGAGAGGAGTTTTCAGTTTCAGTTTCACAGCACCATGCAGCTTTAGTACAGAACAATTGAACTAAGACATGTCCAGGCTCCTTGCTGTCTCCTTCTTGCTCACACAGCAAATACTGCTTCAGTTTCCAAACAGCCCTCAACTTTCTCACACACTGACAGGATGGTAGCCAGATGAATGCTGATGGATGCTGGTAGGCAGAGCCAGAATTTTTCCCCTTTATTTTCCTCTCCAAAAACTAAGCCCGACCACATAATTTCATAGCGAAACATTGGTATCGAGCTAGTTAGTATACTATACTATAATTACTGTACTATGCTATGCTATGCTATAGTAAACTATAGTATACAATACAATACTATACAACTGTTTATACTGGAAATACGCAGTCTGGAAACAGATTTGCTTTCCAGAATATTTACCGAAAAATCCATTAATTTCTGTATTCATGGACTCTAATTAAAATAACATACAGCTAGCCCTCGATTTATGACCATGGCTGAGCCCAAAATTTCTGTTGCTAAACGAGACAGCTATTAACTGAGTTTACCCCATTTTACGAGCCAGGGGTGGGATTTGGCAGTTCTCCGAACCAGCCATAACATTAGCTACAGATTCTCCTGAATCCGAGTGAACCCTTAGGGGCCCACCCCGCTTGAAACTCCAGTACCAATCTGTCCTGCAATGAATTGTCCCATTTTGCACCACATACCTGGCAGCGTTTTCATCCGGCACCCCTGCTTGGTATTCCAGAAGTTCTACGATGATGCTCTGATCTGTGCTGGGGTGAACAAAGACTTCCTGGTTGTCAGGGACCTGACGCATTTCGCTGTGAGGGAAAGACATAGATAGGGAGAAGAAATCAACCAGCCACTACGTGTCTGTGAGCATGTGGACCTCCTAAAGACCCAACAAGCAGGCCATCTTCTATGGAGATATTCAGTCATCCAGTCATGGTTAGAATAGAATAACAGGAATTTTCTGACTGTGAGAGCAATCAACCCATGGAACAGAAGTTGCCTTCAGAAGTTGTGGGAGCTTCATCACTGGAGGCTTTCAAGAAGAGATTGGACTGCCATTTGTCAGAAATGGTGTAGGGTCTCCTACTTGGGCGGGGAGGTTGGACTTGCTATACTATACTAAACGATACCATACTATACACTACCACACCACACTATAATTACTAAACTATAACATACTCTACTCTACAATCTTAACCTATATATATATAAAAGTGAAATACCACTCATGCATCATCACAAAATCTCCAGAACAGTAAAGCCTACAAACTTGAAATTTGGCACGTAGGTTCCTCTTGGCTTCTAGGGGCTCACTAAGAAAGGATTTTTCAAAATGACTATCAGAGCATTAGTATTTCCCATATTATTATTAACACGCTCTGATGCTAAGGAGTTCTACTCCCCCTCCCCACCAGCAAAACACAAGCAGAGGAGTTTTAGCTTTAATTTCACAGCAACCAGCTTTAGTACAGAACAGCTGAGCTAAGCCACGCCCAGGCTCCTTGCTGTCTCCTTCTTGCCCATACAGCAAATACTGCTTCAGTTTCCAAACAACTCAACTTTCTCACACGCTGACAGGATGCTAGCCAGATGAATGCTGATGGATGCTGGTAGGCAGTTGCAAAATTTCCCCCCCTTATTTTCCTCCCCAAAAACTAAGCCCAACCACATAGTTTTCTAGCGAAGCATGGGTATCGAGCTAGTCTGTATCTAAAATTTAAGTGCTAGGCAACTGGCTCCTATTTATGGCACCTGCAACATCCTGGGGGGGATCTCATGAGCTTCCCAGTTGACTTCCAATAAGCAAAGCCGATGAGGGAAGCCAGATTCACTTAATAACCTTGCCACCAAAAGCAAACTGAGGCATGATTCGTTTCACAACCGCCTCGCTTAGCAAAGGAAGTTGAGGTCCCAATTGTCGTCCTAAGAAAACTCACACAGAATGGCAACTGCTATTAAAAAATGGGAATCAGAATAACAGAGCTGGAAGGGACCTTGAAGGTCTTCTAGTCCAACCCTTTGCTTAGGCAGGAAATCCTACACCATTTCAGACAAATGGTTGTCCAATCTCTTCTTAAAAACTTCCAGTGTTGGAGCATTCACAACTTCTTGAGGCAAGTTGTTCCACTCGTTAATTGTTCTAACTGTCAGGAAATTTCTCCTTAGTTCTAGGTTGCTTCTCTCCTTGATTAGTTTCCATCCATTGCTTCTTGTCCTGCTCTCAGGTGCTTTGGAGAATAGGATGACCCCCTCTTCCATGTGGCAGCCCCTCAAATATTGGAACATTGCTATCATGTCTCCCCTAGTCTTTCCTTTTATTAGACTAGGCCAGGGATGTCGAATTCAATTTCATTAAGGGCCACACCAGGGTTGTGTTTGACCTTGGGGGGGGACTGGGGGGGCATGGCCAGCTCAACGTCACTCGTGTCAGGGTCGCCTAGGGCGGCCCAAGCACTTTGCCAGCGAAAATGGGCTCCCAATTTCCGTTTCTGGCTGCAACAGCCTCCTGCAACCCTCTGCAGTGAAAACAGAGCTCAAGAGAGCAGCTTGCAGGCCTTCCAAGCTCCATTTTTGCTGGCAGAGGTACCGCAGGCCAGTCCTTCACTGTTTCTAGGGTGGCCCGTGAAATAGATCTAAGCATCCTACAGGCCAAATCCAGCCCCTGGGCCTTGAGTTTTGACACTCTTGAAGTAGATCTACCAAATTCCTGCAATCCATCAATGCAAAGAACTGGACCAGTTCTTTCCAAACCAGAACGCCTAATAGGCCTTTGTTTGACCCACAAGTTGCGTTGGGAAGCCAAGAGGCTACTGGGAAGGCCAGAATGAATCCCTCTGGGCAGAAGTTGGTCAGGGGCAGAGAATCCAACCCACCTGATATCCAGACTTCCAGGAGGGAGGCAAGCTGAAAAGGCACCCCCAAAGAGGTGGCTTTCTTGGAGCTGCTCATCCGCCATGGCCCTTTGCCTACAAGACAAACCAAAGGGCAGATGCATTGGATATCCACAAAGTGACACACACAATACGAAGTCTCAGAGGCCCGGATGAGCTGCAAACTGAAAAGTTTTTGCACTTAAATGCGTAAAATAAAATATATAGCAATCTGTAGCAACCCAATTATTATAATAAATATGTTGGGCTCAATGGGGGCCTTGAAGTCGAGGAGTACTTGGACTAGATGGCAGCAAAGAGGATATTTTGAACCTTGGTGTCACAGTGGTTAGAGTGCAGTACTTCATGCTACTTCTGCTGGCTGCCAGCTGTTTGGCAGTTCGAATTTCACCAGGCCCAAGGTTGAGTCAGCTTTCTGTCCTTCCAAAGTCGGTAAAATGAGGACCCAGATTGTTGGGAGGCAATATGCTGACTCAGCAAACTACTTAGAAAGGGCTGTAAAACACTGTGAAACGATATATAGCAATAGCAATAGACTTATATAATATTTATTTTATTTTATTTATTTTGTCAGGCGATTATAAGATAATAGGTATAAGTATAAACATAGTTATGAATACATGAAATGGATACGAATAAGAAAAAAAAAGAAACAATAGGACAGGGATGGTAGGCACGTTGGTGCACTTATGCACGCCCCCACAGACCTCTTAGGAATGGGGTGAGGTCAATAGTAGACAGTCTAAGGTTAGTTTTTGGGGTTTGGGAAAGAAACCACAGAGTCAGGCAGAGTATTCCAGACATTTGACCACTCTGTTGCCGAAGTCGTATTTCCTGCAATCAACTTTGGTGTGATTTACCTTGAGTTTGTATCTATTGTGTGCTCTTGTGTTGTTATGGTTGAAGCTTAAGTATTCATTGACAGGTAGGACATTGCAATGTATGATTTTATATACTATACTTAGATTGGACCGAAGACGGCGTAGTTCTAGGTTTTCTAGGTCTAGAATTTCAAGTCTGGTGGCACAAGGTATTCTGCTATGAAGAGAGGAGTGGAGAACTCTTCTTGTGAAATGTTTCTGGACTTTCTCAACTGGGTTAATATCAGATACGTAATGTGGATTCCAGACTGATGAGCTGTATTTGAGTATTGGTCTAGCAAATGTTTTGTATGCTCTAGTTAGTAGTGGGATATTACCAGAGAAAAAGCCAAAAAGGATTAGGTTAACAATACCACTTTATAGTGCTTTACAGCCCTTTCTAAGTACGCTATTGCTATAATTTCTCTTTCTCCTTCTCCACTACTCTAGAGTTTTGCACAACAGATCTGAGAAGGACCTAATTGCTGTTTTCTTTTGTATCTGTTCTCTTCAGGCTTTTAGGAAAGAAGCAATCATGTCACAATCAGCTCGATCCTAGGTAGAGGCAGATATTTCTCTCTCTGGGCACACTGAGAATATATCTGCTGAAAATAACTCTGTATTGGCCTCAGGAAGGGCCGGGAAGGGTTGGGAACGGCCCCCAAATAATTTAAAATAGACATGGAAATCCCTGCAATAATAATAACAACAACAACAACAACAACAACAACAATAATAATAAACAAACCTTGGGAGAAAGGGTTTTCCTTGTTAACTGCGTCACAAAGGAAAACATGCGACGGTGTTGGGGGGAACTAAGTGAACATTGAATGGGGGAAGTTAAATTTGGAACCGGCAAATTGATCGCTGTAAAAAAAAAAACCTCCGGGCGATCCTTCCACCTTTTCGAATGACTCACCTCTGAACCTAGCTTGATTGCATGCAGGAGGCGACTTTCTCTTTAAAACTTCCCTCTCCAATGAATCCGCACCTCCCGCCCTGCCCTACTAGGCCTGAACGTTTAGCGAGCAAAGCGGCCAATCAGAAGCCGGATGGTGCGCTTCGTATATCGAGTTCCATTCTGACGGTTACGTAAAATGGAGTGTGATGGACGGGCACCTCGTCCAATCCGCCGAGGCAGATGGGACTAATACGTTTCGAGCTGGACGGCCCTTAAAGGACGGCTTAAAGGGGCCATCGCTTTTTTAAAAAAATGTAAAAAAAACTTATTACGTTTCTGAGAGGGCGGTGGGAGGATGAGACGTTTATTATATTAAAAGTAAAGCTACGTACAAAACAATGGAAATTTTTGTCATTCTCCTTATTTCCTTCCTCCCCTTTGATTTAAATTCCGCAGTCCTGAGTTTCCACGTATTGATGGCTAATGTTTAATCGAAAGGAATATATATAGGATGTCAGCAGCCAGAAGATTTGTCATTTTGAATGGGCTTCCCTAAGTTTTTTTCCTTTCTTGGAGATGGCAAGATAAATCAAATGAAACAATTAGCAGAAAACTGAAATAAAGCTATATGTAATTCACCTCCATAACCTGAAATGAATTCCCTTTCTTCACCCTTGGGTCATGATTCGCTTAGTCTCTGACCTTTAGTCGAAATGGCGTTAATAGAATTGTGGTGAATTAAATAATAATTAACAAAGGACTGGACGCAGGTGAAACTAGTTAACTCCAGAAGCCAAAACCTATATAAATAAAGAGCGTGAGAGCAAAGCTGAGAAGTGGTTGTTTCTGAAAGTAAGATATTAGCAGAGTGCTTCAGGCAAGCAGCTTTTTCTCTCCAGTATGAGGTCTTTCGTGTTTGTAAGGTATATGGCTTGTTTTATCTCTCACTTAAAGGCCAGATAAGGGAATTTTATCTGGAAAAGCGATGTCTGACTTTTGTTTTGAAAGTTTAGAAAAACACAGTGATTCTAGCTGAGAAAAAACAGCCTTGGAGTGTGATTGAAAACCAGATATGAATGTTTGGAATTTGGAGAAGGGGGCGTATTAGATATAATTTCCAAATACATTAGTGAAGTTATGCTTTGTTTGGAGAAAGTGAAACACAGAACTACCAGAACAGAATAGAATTCTTTATTAGCCAAGTGTGATTGGACACATAAGGAATTTGTCTTTGGTGTGTATTCTCTCAGTGTACATGAAGAAGAAAAAACATTCTTCAAGAATCATAAGATACAACACTTAGTGATAATCATAGGTTACTAATAAGCAATCAAAACATTACCAGTATTTGAACAGTTTATTGTTTTAAGGTGGCACAAATGTGTGAATAATTTATTGTGAAGTATACTTCACAGCTGAGCCTTGTTTTTCTAAGCCAATATTCTGGATTCACAGCATAATCCAACACCCAAAGTTGACCATAGGGTGGGTTTTCAAAGCAAGCTAAATTATCTTTGGTTACTTTGAGGTTTTAAAGGCTCTTGTGAAAACAGCCATGGTCAGTTCATGGTTAGGTTTGTAACCAAGTGAAACAGTATGAAGTCTTTCCTCTAAGAGTAATAAAATACCATTTCAGACAAATGGTGGCCCAATCTCTTCTTAAAAGCCTCCAGTGATGGAGCAACCACAACTTCTGAAGGCAAGCCATTGTACTAGTTTATTATTTTCACTAAGACCTATGGACTTCAACGCTCAGAATGGCTGGCTGGGGAATTCTGGGAGTTGAAGTCCACATTTTTAAAGTTGCCAAGGTTGGACATCCCCAATCTAAGACTTGTTATTCCACTTTCTGCTCTCCCCTCGGTAACTAATATTTTATAGTTGCTGTTGAAAGGCTGGAAAATGCCTTTCCTTTGAGGATTCGATTTTCCTGCTGGGAGGGCTCTGGTGCAAGGACACAGACAACTGCTTAGAAGCGGGTTCCTTTTATTTTTCAGGAAGGCAAGAGATAGCAAGAAGTCTGCGTTCCTGGGGCTAGCCATCTTTGTATAATAAACTCCTGATTTTTATACCTTTTCTCCTTTTGTGTGTGAGTGCTTGTGTTTGTATTTCTTAATGTTTAAAATCCTGTCAGGGGGTTGTCTTCATTTCCGCCAGAGGGTAAACTCTGCGGGGTGGTTTGATTGGATTATCAGTTTCATCCTAATGTTTTCTTATATTTGTTTGGTGGCAATCTCCTGTCTGCTATGGAATTTATTTCGTGTCTTTTGTCTGTTTGTTTTGCTGATTTGGCATGACCTGTTGTTTGTAAGGGATTTCTTTTTCTTGTTTCCCTAGCTTTCTTAATTACTTGGCTTTTGTCTAGGGGGCTTCTTTCAATACCTTTTATTAAATCTCTTTTCCTATGCAAGTTTGTTTTATGGCTGGCCTGATGTTCCCTTTGGGCTTTTCCTGCTTGGGTGTCACCACTGTCCTCATGAAGTTCCCTTTCCACAATCCTTCATTTTTTTTTTTAAGAGGGTGGTCTCTGATTGAATGTCTGGGTATACTTGGTATTTGTGATCAATCTGGTTCATTATCATAGCTGCCTGTCTCCCCCTTTAGTTTTCTCTTCTGAGAGGGGATACAGGCCTTTAGGCAGCTAAGGCAGGGTGGTATGCATCGACAGGGGCAACACATGAGGGCTCCAAAGACACAAATGGTGACTGTGATAAGGATTTTGAGCGAATGGAAATCTGGCATCCATGAGAAGAGCCATGAAAAGTCCAGGAATGATTGCTCCTGACCAATATTCTGAGATAGCTCTTTCAGGTGGTGGATGTCCCTCCCTACGAGTTCTGAGGTTTCGTCCAGATTGAGGCAACACATCCCTTGGAATTTTTCGCAGCCATAGTTATGCTTCAAGAGAAGGAAGCCTATTGCTGCCCAATTCTCCAAGGTGGCTTCTCTGACCTCCCTCAGTTCTCTGTTAAGGGCATCCAGGGCATGGGAAGTTGAATTCAAGCTTTTTTTCCAGGGTACATGCTAGTCTATTCAAATTTTTAGAATTTCGCACTGCCAATCCAGGTACCCCTACCAAGGATATTGCCAATGAGATGTATTCTATTTTTGTGGGAAGGGAGACTTAGGAATCACAGTCTGAGTCTAGGGTTTGGAAGGCTCTCCTGTGTCGTCTCTGTAAGGATGGCATGAGCATGGTTAACCTTCCCAAGGTGCAGGGGCCATTTGTGGCATTTGCAGGAAGGTATGAGTAGGCTTTTAAGCCACAAAGGAAAAACTATCCTGGTGGGAGCTTCAGGTAACTATATAAAAATGATATGGTCTCTGTATAGTTGAATTTTAGTTCTGTGTTGCTAAGACTGGTGCATTCTGTGACCCTAGGTGTGCTGCACCCAGTGACATTATGATTTCCCTCCTGCTAAGCAAACGTTAGTGGTGTTGAGTATTTCTCTTGCTAAACATTCCCATATGTTTTCCTTTCTCTGGGATAAGCTTTGGTTCCAGGAAAGCAGTTGCTTGTGTTACAAATGTTACAATTATTACAGAAAATAATAATAATACATAGAATATATTGCATTTTATGTTCCCCGTTGCTTGATTCCTTTTCTTCCCTTCCTCCCCACCCCCTCCTTTTTTTTAAATAGCAATGTAAAAAAAAATGTAAAAGGTCAAGTATCAAAAAAATTATGAGTAAGGTATAGTTAAAGTCCTTTTTGTTAAAAAAAATACAATGAAAAAAGGTTTTTTAAAAAAGGAAAAAAATGGAGAAGGTGAGACAAAAAATTAAAAAAAACAATAGTTTATAACTCAGCACCCGGGAGTCCAGGTTTGTGTAATGCAACATTTGCACTTGGTTCCTCATAGTGGTGTGGTTCAACAGTGTTGAAGAATGCTGCAAGCGTCCATTGATCTGTGTCCCGATCTTTCTTGAGTTTGATGGGTGGGATTGATTGTGGTGGAGTTTGGCTATGGTCTATGACTGCTGGCTTTGCATGTGTTCAATGTAGCCAAGAGTCTCGTTCTGCAAACCTTTATGGCGGTGTGTGTAGTCAGTAAAACTTGGTAGGGTCCTTTCCACCTGGGTTGTAGAGAGGAGGTTCTGGTGAAGAACTTGATCCACACCCAATCTCCTGGCTCATATGGATGCAGGGCTTCTTCCAGGGGTAAGGTCTGTGTCAGCGCACTCTGGGTCCAGAGGGTCTGTAGTCTCTTTTGCAGGGCTGTAAGATAAGAAGAGAGAACCCTATCCCCCCCATCTAAGCAAAGGGAATGAGGATTTAAGCTGAGAATCAGGATCCTAGTAGGGTATGGGGGGGGGGGTGACCAAAAGGATCTCAAAGGGGGAAATACCTGTATCTTGTCTTGGTCTGAAATAAAAGGGGGCAATTGGGAGCACTTGTGGCCAGGAGAGGTGTGTCTCCTGACAGAGTTTGCCCAGTAGGGTCTTCACCTCTTTGTTTGCTCTCTCCATGGCTCCTTTAAGTAGCCCCACTTCTGATGCATCCCAGCCCCATAAGGAGGATGGCAGGCTTTTTAAATCTTCATGAAGCCCTGTGTTGCTGATTATCAGCATGATTGTCTTGTGTGTGCCTTTTCCTGGGATTTCCAATTGCAGCCCCTGTTTGCCACATATTATGGTAGCTCCCATTTTACATAGGAGATCCGTTCCTAGTAGAGACAGTGGGGACTGGGGGCAAATAGTAAGTGCATGGTCTACTGTGAAAGGTCCTAGTTCTACTGGTACATTGTGGGTAAATTCTACAGGGCTTATTTCCCCCCCCTCCCATTATGCTATCCCGAGCCCCTTCAGCCACTGAAGCTTTATATGGTAGTTCAGGAATGAGGAGGTGGCTCCAGTATCAACTAAGCAATTGTATTTCTTTCCTCCTATAAGAATGGTAACAATGGGTTCCCCTTCTGGGCCATTTTCTAGGGGATAGCCAGCCCATTAAAGATAGCCATGAATTCAGTGCTTTCATTGTCATGTTCTAGTCAAGAAGGGGGTAAATCTTGTTCTCTCCTTTGCTCCCATTGATGTCTATTGTTATTATTTATTGGAGGAAAGGGAGCGCTGGGTGGTGCCTGGTGACTGAAACTTTGTTGCTCAGTGTAATGGACTGGATTA